CTCTGTTTCCTGCCAAAGCTAGTCCCTTGTTCTTTGAAGGCTATTTATACTTTCCATCCCAAATTGCAACATGATTTATTTATTTATTGTAATGGGAGAAAGCTTAAATATTGCTGGCTGCCAGATTTTGTTACCTGTGTTTTGCCTCACCTCTTTATGCTTTGCTGCAAGCATTGGCTTGACTTTGGGAGAGACTGTGAAGAGATTTGGGTGTTGCATTTAACCAGAAAATCCACAGAAGCCCTGTGGTGGGAGACACTAATGCCTTGGTTGTCATTTAAAGAGTTTAGAATGTACTTATTATGATTTGAAGCACCGAATACCTCTTACTTCACTGCCGATTTAAGGACTGTTTCTGCCAAAAGCATCAGATCCTTCCATTTCTGCCTTACTTGATGCATTCAGTGTTAATGTTTTCTCCATTCCAGGGGTAGACACAGATGAGCTGGACAGCAATGTTGATGACTGGGAGGAGGAAACTGTTGAATTTTTTATCAATGAAGAAATTATTACCCTTGCAGAACCAGAGTAATTAATAAAACCGTGGTAAGACAGCACTACTCTTAGTAGAGAAAAACTTCGTCAGCTATTGCTAGAGATTCAGTAATTTGCTTGAGAAAGTTAGGTCCATTTGTTGCACGAGTGAAGGTATTGTTCTCTGAGTTGGTTTATGTTTTCTGTGTGGCTGGAGGGAACAAAAGCTTTTTTTAAAAAAGTAATCAGATATGATCAGATTTATGAGTTGCACCGAGCGGGATACTTTGTATGTCCGGTCTTGCCAGAGTGATCAAACCCACAGAAGAGTCGGGGTCAACTTCTAAACACAGTGTGTTGCAGAGTCTGTAAGTTCTGTCAGTAGGAGGAATTGTAGTTAGTATGAGAGAGAAATTGTGCCTTTTGGAAGAACTGCATGTTAGTTCAAGACTGGACAGAGTTTAAATTCTGTACTAAAGATTTTATAGCAAGTTGACTGGGGGCTGATAAAACTTTGAGTAGATGTTTAAATATCCACAGGAACTCTGCTGTCATTTTCTAGAATAGTTGGGTAGAATTCAGGTAGAAGTAGATTCTTGTGTACTGGCTGTCACTGCCTGTTGGTGAAATCTTTTATCCAGTGCTTTTCCTGGTTCCTTACTGTGAAATTGTATTACATATTTGTACATTGAAAATAGAGGCTACTTTCAGCCCCTGTTACAGGAGATGTCCTTTAGGGAGCTTGACGTTGTGTTAAGGGAGGAAAAAGATAATTTGATACTAAAGGCACTCACATAGGACTTAAAATCTGGAATGGGTTCCTGCTCTGTTTCGGACTTCATTTAAGAAAGGGGAGGGGCAGACTGCAAGTATGGCTTTTGCAGCTGTAAGTCACCCTACAGCTCCTTCAGCTCCAGATATCTAAGGAATTGAAGTAAAATATGAGCAGTATACCTCTTGAACCCATGAAAAATTCATAGCCTTGATACCTTTGACTATATTTGGATCTGGCTTATCTGTGTCCCATACATGGAGATCCTTTTGTGGAAGGAAGAGAGTGAAAAGCTGCTCAGTGTATGGACTTAAACAAACATCAGTTTAAGAACATGTGAAACATCCTTACGTAGCCTTTCACCAGCTAGCGTCTGTGGTGAGGTTGAGCTGCTTCTATAAAAACACAGTAACTAACTTGCCTCTTTTTTTCTTTTCTGCAGCACCACCATATCTTGTGCTGAAAAGAAGTTCGTTCATTTTCAGAAAACCTACATCAACTTGGGAATTTTTAATCCATATTCTTGCACTCTGGAAGGGTGGATGCACCAGATTTTCTCCATTCTGACACATTGTAGTGCCTTTAAATCTTGCTGCCTGCTGCAGTGAGACACTGGAAAGGCGCTGCTTTTAAATTTTTATTCTTTTTTTTTTTTTTAGGGTTTTTTTTTTCTTTTTTTTAAATCCACAACTACCAGTATTTACTTCCTGACTCCTGTGCAGTACTTACTAACTGGCAGTTTTTGTTAATTGCCAGTGAGGTGAGATTCATCAGTGCACCTTTACACACACGCACGATGTTTCTGTTTCAGGACTCTTTCTATGTCCCAAGTGCATGGACAGGTGTTCATTTGGTTTGGGGAAAAGTCAACAGAACCATTTTCCGTATGATGTGTTTTAGTGTGCTGAAGCAGCACTACAGTGGGCTATATCCTCCTCCTTTCAGATTGTGAAAGGATGTCTCCCTCAAAGAGCTGAATATGGAAATAAAAGCAGACCTATACTAAAACCAGGCTGGCTACGTGTTGTTTGTAGGGAATCTTTCCCTGAATGATGGAAGTCAAACATTCAGTAATAAGAGTGTGTTTGCTATATTGACTATATGGTTCCTTTGGATTTTTATTTTAATCTTGGTTCCTCATGGCTCTTCTGGATTTATGTTGTGGTTGGTTTGTTTTTGATGGTGTGGCTCATTAATCTGAGAAGTTGACCTATTCACTGTAGTGGAGTTACTAGAAAAGGAGTGAATTTCTTAAAACACTTGCAGAGTGATACTAGCCTCAGGAATTACTGGATTAGTCTTATTAGTGAACATTGCAAACTTTTAAGTGAAGTGCTCTGTATATACATGCCTTATGCTCCCTGTTACAGTACCTAGTTTCATTTCTAAAGCCCTCTGTGCTCAGAGGGGAAAAGTGTACTTAAACCTGGTGGAGCAACTTCTCTGTATTTATAAGTAATTCTTTTCTGGATATTGTCAGCAGTGAGAGATTGGCCTGCTGCTTGCCCTTTGAGGGGCAGAGAGGAAGGGAGATGTTACTGTCTCCTGGACAGGCCAGTGAAATTGCTGCTGTGAGCCCTCTTGACTTGCTCTTTTTAAACCCTGAGCTCCCTTACACAGCAGTGTGATGGATTGGAAGTGGGAAGCAGAAAGTACCTGTTGGGGAAAGAGAGTAGCCCCACTCAGCTGGAGGCAGCCACAGGACAGTAGTGTTTTTAGCACTCGCTTTTCTTTGTTCTTAGGCGAACTTGCTGTGATAGAAACGCCAAACCCCTCAACGCCCATGTTCTCTTCACCACGAAGACTTCAAACTGATTATTCCATAATGGTGGTATTGACTCAGTTTCAATAGTTCACTCTCAAACCAGTGGGTGTGGTTTTTTCCAGAAGTCTACATTACCTTCTGTTTTTCTGCGTTTGTTCATCCATAATCCATGTATACAGACATACAGACAATTCAAGTTTTGTCCACAATATTTACCAAACTCGACTGGAAAAAAAATACTTTCTGGCAAAACAATGCAGAAGAAATTCTAGCCTGTCAAAGTTCTTCAGTAATGGCTTGGACTTTATAGTAGGAATAATTTTATTTACCTTTGTGAAGAGTTGACTTCTCAACTACTTTCTAAGTTATGAATAGAGTTGAAAGGCTTTTTTTTCCCCTGTTGCTGTGCAGTGAAATTTTAATGGGCTATTGTGTTTTCTTCCTGGCCATTTTCAAAGTAAAAAAAATGTAATGCCAGCATTTTAAAGAAATTGGGTTCTCTTCTCTGAAGTGTGGATCATCAGTGAGAAAAATAAACCAAAAACCCACCCAAAACTTCATGTTCCTGTAGCAGCTTTGGAAGCTGACAAGATGTCCTGACCAGTTGAAGTCTCTTTTCATCTGTTACACTGACATTTCTGATGCTGCTCCCTTCAATTACTGTGTCTTTTCTGTAGTGTTTCTTACTTGAAATGCTTTTTCCAAATTATGTGCTACTGAAACTGCTTTATGGGTGAGTATTTGGTAAACTAGTCTATTTGGCATATCTTGAATAATCTGAGGAGTTGTACGGAGGAAGGATCTTGTTGGATTGAATCCATGTTGGTTTGTAGCTTCAGGTACTCTGGCACTAGTTTTCAGCCTGTGGCCCTTAGAGGGGCTTCTGAAGGGTGGTCAAAACAGAAGCAGGTTTGTGGGTGCTGTATAGAGATGTATGGGTGGGGAGAAAGGCTCCAGCAGCAGTTGTACCCCCACTGAATACCTTCGAGGGTCCAGAATTTGGGCAGGTGGGGAGGGAGGGAAGTAAACCTTAAGCATTAAGTAGGATAGTATCTCTCATTGTGTTTGTTAAAGTATTGTCTTAAGTATTTTTAATGATTGTTCTTAAATAGCAAGATTAATTGCAACAGTTCATATAATCCTGGGCTGGTCTTCACTTTCACAGTCTTTATTTTGATTTTGTAATAAATATTCTCATGACCCTTTAACCATCTACAGTCCTTAATGCAAGTTTCATAGAGAAAATTTTGTTCACTAGCTATACTTTTAACTTCTTAAATTCTAATATTTTTTAATAAAGCCTTACTGTAACTTTTGTGAGCTTTGACTCATTTACTGTGAATAAATAATGAAGACAAAAGGTGACCTTGTTGTGGGTTTTTTAATAGGTTGTAATGAATGGACTGACACTAAAAATGCTGAAGGATTGTCTTCCTGAACCTAGGAGTCATGAAATGCCACTGTGTGAAGTGACAATACAGTGGAAGTTGCACTTACCTCAGGGGGGTAGCAACTGTTTCCTGCCTATCTCAACGACTGTTGTCAGTTCCTGTGCAAGGTGAGGGGCCAGGGTGCTGCTTGCTTGGCTTTTGGTGGAGCTGTGGACCCCTGGACTGGGTGGTGCTGCATCTTTGATCTCAGGGCAAGAAGAAATCTGGCAGCCAACAGGGCAGAAAATTAAGTCTGTGGCCTGCTCACCGAGGGTGTGCAGAGGGATTTGCACATAAAGAAGTAATTTGGGCTTGCAGGTGGGTCACTTTGCTTATCCTGATCCTTTCACCAGGTCCCATGCAAGGTGCAGTGGTGGCACACTGCTCCAGGGATGTGCTGTAACACCCCCCTTTCCCGGGGCTCGGTGTTTCACTGCTGCCTCTCCTGCTGTCCCTGCACTTCTCTCCCCTGGGGGAGCGCAGGTGTTACCTCTCTCCTTCCCTGGGGTGATGGCTGCTGCCTCTGAACCATTCAGTCTTCCTGAAGGGCTCCAGCTCGATGTGCACCTCCCTGGGCAAATCGCCCAGCCCTGAGCTGGCATCATCTCACAGCTCGGCCATGAAGGAGCAGCAGCTTACGGTGAGCCCGCTGGTGATGGGGAGGATGTGGGATGGGGAGAAGCAGCTGGGTTGTACCCAGCCCTGGCATCCTTACTGTCGGCATTGCCAGCTGTCTGCTGGTGTTCCTGGCCTTTGTGGCCCAGCCAGAGGGCAAAAATGCAAACTTGCTCTCTTTGTGCAAAACTCTGTATGATTTAAAGCAAAAGTTGGGTTTAAATATCCTGCAGGGGGGAAAAATGTATAGGAGGGGAGGTGAGGCTGGGTAATCTGGCAGGTGATGGTGGTTACTCCTTGAACAGTGATCTCCAGCATGCTCATCTCTTTGGGATCTGTTCGAGTGACAGAGTCATCAAAAGCAGCTGGGATTAGAGTCCTGTCTGAGCATCTCTCTCGCACATCTCTCTGTGGTGATCAGAGTAAGAGGAGTGTTTTGAAAATGTAATCCCCAAGTTTCAACCTTCAGCCCGTGGCACTCTGTTAAACTGAAGCATTGCCCTCGTGCTGAAACACAAATGAGGCAGATACAGAAACCTCTGCTCAAAGAGGAATCTCTTAAAATAAAGTCAATAATATCTAGAATACCTTGCATTCCTCTTTAATGCAAGAAAAAGCCTTAGTACTTGGTGTGACCCATCTCCACATGCTGCTTATTTGGGTTTGTTTTCTTGCCCTCAGTGGCTAGGGCTTGTGAATACAGTGATTAACTAGACTATTCCAGAGGTTAAAGGCAGTCCGAGAGAGACTTGCACGATGTCCTATTCCTCCAGCAGAATTTGGCATTATGGTGAGCAAGATAATTTTTTCTCAAATTCTAAAATGACTTCAGCTTATGGGAATGAAATGCTCAGAATGGTGTCATTCACGTGTGTTTAGGGAGATGATGAAGCTAATTGTTGCATTCTCATGAATATTAAAAGTTACCCAAAGCCGAGGAGCTTAGCTTGTATTCTAAGACATTCACAGTGAAGAAATATTTTTTGCTGTTGCTGCAACTACTCAAATATGTCTACTACAGGGCTTGCTGTTCATGAGAGCTGTTCATGAAACCCTCATTAAATTGACAAGTAGCTTGACTTGTTACTGTGGAAATAAATCTGGTTCCTATAGAAACTAGTTGCTTGTGGACTGGTGGGGCCATAGAACAAATCTGTTTCAATAATTGCACACCCTCCTGCTGAGACACCACTTAAGTGCATTATGTAGTGTTCTATCAGCATCAGCTCTCCTGTCAGCAGCTGCTAAGGAGATCCTGCTGTATTTTCTGAAAGGGAGAACAGCTATGGGAAGGTGAAAATAGAATCTTTCAAATCTCTGTTATTAGCCGAGAAGCCAAGGCTAGCTTTTAGGTGGGATTTCAAATCGGTGATCTTCTCCGGAGACCTGCCACTGGGCACACAGGTTTGGGATCTGGAACCATGCAACCTGCCCTCAGCTGCAGTGAGTCAGGGCTAGAGCAGGACCCCAGCATTGGGAGGCCCAATTAATCCCACAACTGATCCAGGACACCACGCTTTATTGCTTCACCTCTAGATTAAACAGGCTGAAATACATGTGTTCTTGTACGTTATTAATACTGACAAGTGCAGCCTGTGTGTTTTAAATCTTTGGGTCAAATTACTGTCTTTCGAAACAGAGTACTGTGTTCCTGACTGATTGAATTGTGGTACAAGGCACTGGCAGTTAATTGCTACTTTATAATCGCTCTGGTCCTGTGATGAATTCCAGCTTCCAAGGAACCCTGCGGGACCCACACAGATCAGGGACAACTTGCTCTGATCTGGTTGAACAGGCTCATAATGATTCCTACCTGGGATTAAACAAAATGGGTACTTAGTGAAATGTAATTCCTTTGTCACGGATAACTTTAATCAGTGTTTTGGGAACACCAGGGGAATCTGTAAACATGCTCAGCTCTGTGGCTGTTGGTACCACAGTCCTGGATCTCCGAAGGTTCCTGCTGACAGCAGCAATGACACGGCTGAATTTATTCTGCTGCCTTCTGTCAATCAGTTGGAGTCTTGCAGTGTTAGAGATAGAAACAGGGGAAGAGGGAGGAAGAATTCGTCAAGGTAAAAGTGCAAATCAGGGGAGAATTAACTGGTTTAAACATTGTAAACTTCCCTAAACTCTCCAGGCCCTAAGCTTAAGGCTTTAAGACTGATCAGCAGAAGAGGTGCAGTGAGAAGCTGTAGATATCGCTGGTGCTTGCACAGAGCTGAGCCTCGCTGCAGATTAAGTCACAGGTGTGTGTGCTGTGTGTGCAGGTGGCCCTTCGCATCCGTCCCATCAACGCAGCAGAAGCGGAGGAGGGAGCTGCCCTCGCTGCCCGCAGGACGGGTGAGCAGGTGAGCTGGGGTGGGAGCTGTGCCTGGGCTGCAGGAGAGCCCCCGCTGTGGGGACCGGGGACTCTGCCGGCTACCACGCGGGCCACCTGAGACTCCAGCTCTTCTGGCTCACGTGCAAACACTTTTAAATCCTGCAAAACTCCTGGCCTTGCTGGAATGCGGTGGGATACAGCTTCCGTGCAAATGGCACTTCTTTCCTCTAGTTCTGCATCTTCTACCTCTTGTTCTTCTTCAAGAGGCAGGGATTGCAGGAGGTCTCCACTTACCATTTCTACATCACTACATCTATTTCCATATTTTTATTTTGCCCTTGTTATTTGCCTTCTCTTCCAATGTAAATCCCATTATTTTCTATCGTGCTTCAGCTGATCTTTCTCTGAACCCTCTCTGAATGCACACTAATTCTGCTATATATCTTGTCTCTTGTCTCCTTGCCATAGTCAATGATAGCAGCCCTCTGAAGCAGAGAGAGCATCAATCTTCTTTCCTTTTATGCATTATCTTACAAATGCAATTTTTGTTTAGCACCTTACAGGTGAAACTTTTTTTTTTTTCTTCTTTTCTTTTTTTAAAGCAGTCATTAACCTCACAAGGATATCAGCTTTATTTTTATACAGCCTATTCAGACTTGCATCATCTGGCCTGAGATCTATTTTCTCTAATGGAAGTCTGGGAAGGAAATGTGCATTATATTAGTCTGAGTAACTTCTATCTATGAGAATGAGTTTCTCTTAATAATGCAAATAACTGTAATTATGAAAGCAAATTAATTGACTGGGCAGTTGAAGTGCTTAGATTTCTTGGTGTATTTTGATTTACATCATGTTCCCTGCTATATTTACTCCCAGCCTAACTCATTTAGAGCTGCTGCTGGCTGCTTATTAATCCTAACTCAAAATTGACTCTGTAGTGTCTTGTTATGTTTTAATGCTTCCGGGCAATAGCAGAAGGTTTATGCTTTTAGAATACTGCTGGTTAGATAAGGTGTTGCAAGAGGAGGACTCTCTTGGATGCCTGGATACACTACAAGCAAAATTTGGAAGTTGCAAGGACTCAGTAAGAGGGGCCTGAAAGTGTTACAGGCAGAATTTTTAAAGGAAACATGCTGACCTCATTCTCCAAATTCTGGTCTTTGCTGTCACACTTGCATCTGCACGTTTAGACTCTTTTGCAGACGAACACCACTGCTGCCGATAAACCAGGAATTCCCTTTGGAGGTTGTGCTTGTGTTGCTTCAAGTTTTAAGGCCTGAGCTGGACCAGTGAAAACTAAAAAAAAAAAAAAAAAAAAAAAAAAAGTCTTCCTGATAATTTTAAAACTTGCAGATCAAAGCTAGAGATACTGGTTAGAGATCTGGAATTTAGCAGGAAACACAAAACTAAAAAAAAAACACAAAGTCTTAACACTTCTTGAATGCCTGTGGGCACTTGTCCTAGGTGCTTGTGTCTCTCCCATGCGTGGCACACCAGTGCAGTTATTCTGTAGGTCAAGTGGTGGCTATCTATGCTTTAATTGCTTTTTTAATGATCTGTTTACCTGAGAAAGAGTAAAAGCTGCTCTGGAGTAAGAGGCAGTGGGTTCTCTGTCCCTTCCTTTGAGGCTACAGCATCTCCTTATGAGCCGTTTCAGTGGAGGAGAAAGAGTACTATTCTCTGCAGTAATTATATACTGTGATAATTATGTACTAAAATAGATCCTAAGGGACTGAAAAGAAACAGAACCAGTTCTGTAACTTGCTGCAACTCTTCTCCCACCTTTTTTTTTCTTCATAAAAGCCAGAAATGGAATGAAGCTTCTGTCCTTGAGCAATGCAGACATCTCTATCAGTCCTGCTGCAGGAAAGGCTTTGGAAGATGACTTTGGGCTCTTTTGCTCCTGAGGAACTTAACTATTTTCTTTCACAGCTCCTCTCTGAATCTTGGCTGAAAATCGAGGTAAGAGGTCCTGTCCCCCTCCTGCTTGCACAGGCGTTGGTTGGGTGTCATGTCCCCACAACCACTGCGATTACCCAATGCCAGTGACTGTTTCACTGCACAACGGACCTTCAGAGCATTTTGCAGCAACTACTACTCCAGATTACAGAAGATGTGACATCAGTTGCAAGACAAAGCTTGTTGGCCTCCACATTGTGCATGCAACTGTATTTTCCCTGCAAAGCTGAAGTGCCAATGTTCCTTTGGCCAAGAGATGCAATGGCAATAGTGCTGTAAGAAATCCTGACAGGCTGTTAACAAAACCCAGACATAAGGGTTCTTGTTCTGACTTTATCTTATAACAGAGAGTGGTCCTGATGGATCCAACCGAAGATCCAGATGACATCTTGCGAGCTAACAGATCCCGAGAAAAAACATTTGTATTTGACATGGTTTTTGATCACAGAGCAACCCAGGTAACATCCTTCCCTTTTTTAAACCAAAAGGCTTAACATTATAATTGTTTTCCCTTCTTAGATGAATGTTTTTGGCAGGTGAGTAGAACTGCACATCCCAGAGACCACATGTCACCCAGATAAAAGAGGTGATGGTGTTGAAGGCGAGAGGACTGTGAGGGTTTTCCTTTTGTCAGAAAAGCAGGGAGACTTGCAGTATTCAGTCTGGCGCTCTCTCCCTCCTGCATCGGGACTCCCCAGACGCATCACACCTGAGCAGAGATGAGGATCTTTATCTCCTGAGGTCTCCGGTGAATGAGATCATTGGTCACGTTGTTTGGCTTCATTGCTCCCACACTTCTTCCCTGTGCCTCTTGTTTTACAGGCTCATGGAGTGAGCTCTAGTGCCCTACAGAGCTGTGTTTTGCAGTCAGATGTAAGGTGCAGTATAAGGATTTCATCAGCACCTGCATTTTGTGATCGTCACGATGCAGCCTTGCTTCTCACACGCAACTGGGCTATCGGTGTTCTCTTTCACATTTAACATCAGCGTGGCACACTTGTGTGCTACTTAAGACATTTTTGGAGGCCCGGTGGCAATTCTCTGTAAAGGATAAGGCCAAGGAGATAATTTACTCCCCTTTTCAGCAGTCACAAATTAAAAACAAAGAATTCCATGTTCAGAGTCCAAGAAAATAATCATATTTAGGAACATTTATTTTAGTAAGCTCCTGTATCTTCCCTGCATCTAGAAAATTCAATAAACCTCTGTGCTTTTCTGCTCATTTTGATGTGTCAAAATTCAGATAGCTCACAAATCATTCCAAAACCCAAGAAATCTGTGAGAAATCATAGGGAATGAAATTAGGTATTGATTTTTTGGACAGCTGTTGTGCCTGACCAAAAATTTATGCTTTTTTGACTGAATTAGGAGGAAGTGTATGTGTCCACGACCAAAAGCCTGATTGGAGGAGTCATTTCTGGCTACAATGCAACCATTTTTGCATATGGCCCAACAGGTAAAGTAGTCTCTGTAGCTGTACTGCTCCCGATGAATAAAATATATCTGTACAAAGCAGAAGTGAGCTGTAATGCCAATTAATTACTGTGAGGACAAAACTGAAGCATTAAAATACCATTCTTGTTGGGAAGTGTGGATCTCCCTTAAATGCCAAAGTAAGAGCAAAACTGCCCTGTTTAAGAGTCACTTAATTGAGGTGGAATTCAGTGGAGACAAATCTTTCCGTTTAAAAAGGAGGAGATGAGGGCCTCTGCAACGCTGGAGAATGGTCTCAGGAGAGCAATGTAGAAAGCACTTACAGACTACAGTCTATATGAAAATATTTTTCTACTCTAGCTCTTAACACCCAGGTGGGCAATTAACCTACCTATGTGCCCAGCTGCAAGTCCTCTTCCTACCCTTTTTGGATGATGGTATGTGCCATGTGTTTCCTGAAGCAGCATCACTGTGGGGTGAGAAACTGGAGTAACTAGAGGAAGTTAGGGGATGGACAGAAATCAGTAGGAAACCAGGATTTGTTTGTTGTGGAAACTTGTTCACGTGGAAGTTAGGCTTTGGTGCTCTTCTTTGTATCTTTATCAGGAGCAGGAAAAACCTACACGATGCTCGGGACAGACTGTGAACCAGGGATTTACATCCGCGCCCTTGATGACCTCTTCAAGGCCCTTGAAGCTACGGCCGAGGAGATGGATCACACAGTCTCCATGTCCTACCTGGAGGTGAAGTGTCTGTGTTGCCTTGGATCCGGCCTCTGTGGAACAGGTGTAATGGGAAGTGGGGAGTCCGATTCTGCCTGCTGAAATGCAGATCAACTCAACCCTCTTTGCAGATCTAAGGACTCACTGATAGTCTCACATTAACCCCTTGTTTCTTACCCTCAGATCTATAACGAGGTGATCCGTGACCTCCTGAACCCATCCTCAGGGTTCTTAGACCTGAGAGAGGATTCCAGAGGTAGCATCCAGATAGCAGGAATTACAGAAGTCTCCACAACAAATGCTCAGGAGGTACCTTGGGCTATGGCCCACAGTGAGGGCAAAGGGAGGGGGTTTGTGCTTTCATGCATCAGTGCTTTAAAATTCCCTGACGCTTACCTATTGCCTGTGCCTTACTCAGTAACATAGACCTTTTGTAGCAGGACCTTGGTGGAACTGAATTAATGTGACAAATTATATGGAAAGGGCTGATCATGGAGCCATGTGAGTGGTAGAAACCAGGCTAAAACCCCCAGCTAACCTCCTGCTAGCTCTGCTTCCCCCAGGTGCATGCTGCTTTCCTGGAAGGATGGGAGTGCTTTGATTTCTGTACACATGTGTTAACAAACCGTTTGGAGAGGGAGAAGAAATAATGAAACCCCCTTGAACTACACTGATATGCACTTCTTGTGTCCAAGGCACATGTAGATAAACAGGAAAACAGCCCCAAACTCAACAAACCCACACTTCCAAGGTCATAAGCCAAAGGGGGAGACCTGGGGAAAATCAACAGCAAAACCCCCACTCTCATGAGTGGGACCAGTCTGCCCACGCCCTGGCTGAGCAGTCCACAGGGAAAGCCGTGCTGTGGCTCAGACAGAGCTGTATACCTCCACATGCTCTTCTGCATCATTTAGATCATGCAGCTGTTAATGAAAGGAAACAAGCAACGCACCCAGGAACCCACTGCTGCCAACAAGACGTCCTCCCGCTCCCACGCAGTGCTGCAGGTGACGGTGACGCAGAAAAGCCGAAGGAAGGTGGTGGGCAAGGAAATGCTTATTGGAAAACTTTTCATGGTCGACTTGGCAGGGTCAGAGAGAGCAGCGCAGGTACGTCTGGAGCTCAGCAGCTTTTGGTGAGACCAGGCTGGATTCCCTGGCCTGCCGTGCAGGCCCTGTAAGGCTGTCCTCATCCCTGGGGAAACCAGCACTGTGTGTTTCTCTGTTGGTTTAGAGCAGTAGTTTGTACCTGAGAGCCTGAAAATAAAGACAAAGTTTGATGATATTTGTAATATCTTTTATATTAGACCAACTAGTATAATTGGAAAAACATAAACCAGCTTTTGGCTGCAGCCTTTTCTCGGGTCTGAAAAAGCAGCAGCGAATTTCACATCTAAAGAGAAGCTGAAGTCTGTTAGGTAGGGATCAGCTAGGCTGTCAGAGAAAGCTGATACCAGTGGAATAGAGGGATGCTGGTGGGTGGAAAATAAGGCAGCTGGCTCCTATGGGAAGAAGGAAATGCTGGAACTAAGGGAGGTGATTTGAGGGAGAGAGATTTTATATACCCCAGTACTTCTACTGAGATCAGGAATTCTGGAGTGATGTTATTACGCATCTTAATTTTTGAAATAATCATTAAAAGATAATTAATAGCTATCTTTTAAGAACGAAGAGGTCAGATCTGGGTCATCTTTTCCAAGCAATGTACTCCTACCAGCACCTCTGTTCCTCAGTGGGGTTTAACCCACTTCAGGTTGATTTTTGCAGGAGGCATTGCTTTGACATCCAAACCTTGACCCAGGTGATGCTGCACATCTTCCCTGGGCACAGACCCACCGTTCTGAAGCGTGTTTATTGTCTGTCTGTCCTCCTTCCCTCACCTCTCAACAGACTCAGAACCAGGGCAAGAGGATGAAGGAAGGAGCCCATATCAACCGCTCACTGCTGGCTTTAGGCAACTGCATCAACGCTTTGAGTGAGAAGGGGGGGAGCCGGGCCCAGTTTGTCAACTTTCGAGACAGCAAACTCACCCGTCTGCTGAAGGTACCGTACGCTGTGGGTCAGCAAGGAGCCTGCCGTGTCTCTTGCTGCTATCACCACTCAAATCAGCCAAGGCTTGAGAGCTGATCCTTAAATAACTCTGTGCATTGTCATTATCCAGCTTGGAATGCTCCTCTGGGATCTTGCACGAGCTTTGCAATGCAGTCAGGGCTTGACTCAGGCAGTGCTGTCTCTGTAATAAACATGTTGTCATTGGCACTGTTAAGGAAGGACCTCCTACAGGGTTAGGAAATCCTATAGGTCTGGGTTGTATGTCTGTAAGCTCACAGGAGATAAGTGATTTTTTTTTTTTTTCTTCATTAATGAACTTATTGCATCTATTTCATTCTTTCTGTAAGAACTGGGTGAAATGGGCCAATAAATTTGGATGATGTTGGGGCAGGAGGAAGAGAGACTAAGAGTGACTATGTGCTGTCGTAAGTTGTGTCTCCTTTAGGAAATCAGAAAGGTTGTAGACAGGCTCTCTGCTACACTGGTTATTTTATGGATCCTTTACAACTTCATTTATGAACCTCACCTCAAGTCTTGGTGCTGAGCTACTGCTGTCACTGCCTGGCAGATGCATTTACTAGAGGATGGTGGGGAGGAGAAGGGATGGAGAAAAAGGCAGGCTTCTGTTGTCAGCAGCATTGAGAAGTTACCAGCATATCCGTGGAAATTGCCATTTTCTTGCAAAAATTCTTCTTCTGTAGATAGTTAATTACTTATTGATTTTGCTGTTGATGGAGAGAGAGCCTAATGAACGGTATTTTACCAGCCATTTCTTCACTCCTAATTGGGATTCTCCACCAGAATCTCAATGAAGTGCAAGGGTACCAAGCCAGGGCAGTTACCACCGAGCAGCAAGACCCTGTCATGTCCATACTAACCACAGCAACATTGCATCCCTCTAGGACTCATTAGGGGGCAACAGCAGGACTGTTATGATTGCACATATCAGCCCAGCCAGCACCTCCTTTGAAGAATCTCGAATGACCTTGATCTATGCCTATCGAGCAAAAAACATCAAGACACAGGTAAATGAGCAAGCAACTCACAGGGAGGTGGGGGTTAGAGGTTAAAAGCTTGCAAAGTGGAAATAGAAAATGTAGTGGATGATGGGAGAATAAACTTGAGGAGGGGGCAGTGCATGGATGAGAAGAGGAATATGAGGGTCAAAGCAAGGGAGCAGAATAATGGAAAGACAGAGAATAATGTGCCTGGTATGGACCTGGGTGCAGAATATAAGGAATGATGGTTGGAAGATGACCACTTTGGGAGGGCAGTGTATGGGGAATGTCCCAGTGGGGATGCTGGGCCTGGAAGAGAAATACGAGGGGCTGCAAAAAGGAGGAATAAAATGGAGAGGCTTGTGGGCTAAAGGAAGATGAACAATGATCTACAACAGGGTTTTTGCTCTCTGTGGATCTCTGTGTTTTCCCTGTGGATACAGGGTCCCTGGCTTTTCTCTATTACCTTTTGGGAATTTCCCAGAATTAGGGAAAACTACTGATTTACAGTTTTCCCTCATGACTGGGGAAACTCTTTCCCATCACAGGATTCAGTGCCCCTCCAACTGAAAGCATAGCTTTGTTTGCAGCCATTGTACCAATAACGGGCCTTGGGACAAACGCTCACATATTCTGGCTCACCAGGTAAAGTGTAACCTGCAGAATGTCTCCTACCACATTGACCAATACACCAGCATCATCGCAGACCTCCGCAGGGAGATCGAGCATCTGAAGGCGAGGGGTGAAAACCAGGAGAAGGAGAAAAGTGCAGTCAGCTCCAGCCTCGGGGATCTGCAAGGTAGAGCCCAGAGCAAGAACTATTCTGGGGCATCTGGAGGGGAGAGAGCGTGGAGAAGAGCTGTGTGGACAGGTTGTGGTAGAACTTGGTGGCCTCTATGTAGGCGTATCTGGGGGAAGCTGGTTCAGCAACGCTTGTAGAGGAGCAGAGCAGAGGACATGGGCTGAAAGGTGGTGGAGGCAGGCAGGGGAAATGGAAGTTGTTTTTCGCTATGAGTCTGTCCGAAGTACTGTGTAACTGGACAACTGTTCTGGTTTCAGCTGGGATAGAATTAATTTTCTTCCTCGTAGCTGGTATAGTGTTGTGGTTTGGATTTAGTATGAGAATAAAGTTGGTAACATCCAGATGTTTTTAGTCATTGCTAAGTAGTGTTTATACTAAGTCAAGGATTTTTCTGCTTCTCGTGCCCTTACAGCAAGAAGGCTGGAGGGGCACAAGAAGTTGGGAGGGGACACAGCTAGAACAGCTGACCCAAACTGACCAAATGAATATTCCATACCATATGACATCCTGCCCAGTATATAAACTGGGGGGAATTGGCCAGGAGGGGTGGATCGCTGCTGAGGGACTGGCTGAGCATCAGTCAGCAATTGCATCGGGCATCACTTGTGTTTCTTGGGTTTTAAGTCACTCTCTTTTTGTTATCTTCCTTTTCATTACTATTATTATTATTATTATATATTATTTCAATTATTAAACTGTTCTTATCTCAACCCATGAGTTTTACTTGTTTTCGATTTCTCCCCCCCATCTCACCAGGGGGTGGGGCAGGGAGGAGTGAGCGAGCGGCTACAGGATCTTAGCAGCTGATGGGGGGTTAAATCATGGCAACAGCACATTCAACATTTTCAGCATCTTCCCCAACATTAAAATGTGTTAAATTTCCTAAACCTGCCCTTGAAAAGAGCTTTGACATCAAGTGGTGACATTTGCTGTGGGAAGTCTGAACCCTTACAGAGCAGTGACTGAGTCTGTAGCCTGCGTCATCACAGGCTCTGAGGCTGTGTCAGGACACGGAGTTCTGTTGTACAGTTTGTTGCACTTAATTAAAAAAAATAAAATAGGGAGGAGGGCAGGACAAAGCTTTTAAAACAATGATTGTTCTGCCCTGGGGATTGCTCCTTTTGTCACTGAATCTGGCAAGGAATGAAATAAAAATAGTCAAGTACTCTGACAGACAAGACATGAGATACGATAGGTCTCTGCTACCAATACCCAAGGTCATTTCTAGGTAAAAAGCATAGAAAACCAATACTTTTTCCTTTTTTGGCAGGTGGAAAGGGGGAAGAGATGTCCCTGCAATGCAGTATCCTCTTAATACTCACAAAAGCAGTGGCAATGAGACTTATTTATTGCTAATAATACAATCATAAAGATATATCAGATTTCTTAAGCACGTTATTAAGGTCAAGAGACTGCAGAATGAAGCAGAGTCCTATAAATGAATGCCTCATAGCATGTGGACTGAGTGGCTTGGTTCCATGTAGTTTTGTAGGACTTGGCAGAAGTTTATGTGGTCTAATGTCCGATCAGAAATGTCTTCTCCTGCAGCAGAGAGGCACCAAGGCCCTGAGGCACGCAGTGGGCAAACAATGAATGCTTTGCGGGCACAGCTGATCGGGGCTTTCAGGGAGCAGATGGAGATGCGCCGCAGCCTGATGGAGCTGGAAAACACCAACATCGAGCTGCATGTTGATACCTGCAGACACCTCCTAACAATCACAGAGTGAGTACCATCTTAGCTTTCAGCTCCTCCAAATTCACTGTGAGAAATACCAATATCCCATGGTCCCCCCAGCTAAATGACAGAAGGATGAGATCAGGTGTAGGTTTGAGAATTAACTATGTGATGAGGAAAAACTTGGGAGGGTAGTGGTCTGCAAAAGGTACCCCGGGATTTAAGGTAAATTAAGTCCATGCGACTCTAAGCCTTAGATTAAGGTGCTATATTTGCAACGGGTGATTTCTGGCTATTGAGAAACACATCCCTAATCCCTCCTGGTGCTTGTAAGGAGTCTGCAGCCTGCACATGGTGCTGCACTGCCATGTAATTGCCTGATGTAGCTCCATAAGGCAAACAGATACCTCTAGCATCAAGTTTAAGCTCAAGACTAAAAGTATAAATGGTAGATATATCATCTCTATTTGGACCTTATTTTGGACTTGGGTTTTAATGGAAAAACTGGATGGCAGCACAGACTGTGATTGTTGGTCCTTCTGTGGTTCAGTCACTGTGTTTGGAAAGTGGTTTCCATCCAGATGAGCTGCATCTAGGCATGATGTCAGAGAAAGAATCATCATCCCTTTCTTCTGGATAAACTATAAGCAGGTACCAGTTCCCTCTCATTATCACTAGTCTCCCACCTAGTATGTATATATTATAGTCACTCAGGATTTGGGTCATTTGTACTTAAAACAATCTTCAGGACACTGAAGATATTCAACAAGTACCTGCGAATAGGCAACACTTCGTGATGAGGTGTGGAAAAGCACTGTTCTCCTTGCTATGGAAAGACCACATAGGAGGCCTGTCCTACAGACATCCAAATGGGAGGAAGCTAATTGTGCTCTTCTGCACGGTCCAGCTCCAGACCAGCCTGGACTAATTAGTTCTGCTGCTGTTATGCAAGAAGAAGTTGGACAGATACAATCACAGGCTATGCATGCGTCATTAGAGCTATGTCACTGTGTCCCAGAGGTTCCTTTCTTCTTTTGGCAGCTGGGAACGAGAGAAGGCTCAGGGTGCATGCAAGTATGGCAAACCAGCGAAGGAGGAGAAAGATGAAAACACAGAGGAGGAAGACAGAGAAGTCGGTATCACAGATGCACCTGAACCTCATGAAGTTACAGTAGCAAGAGAAGAGATCAACCTGCTGCTGGCAGAGCAGCACAAGACGGCATCCCTGAAGGTGAGGAGGTGAAGGTGCCGTCACGGTCACAAGTCTGACCTCTGCCCAGCGGGTGCTTGGGGGCAGGATGGCAGCAGTGTAACTCAGAGAGGTTCCTGCGGCTTTCGGCTAGCACTGCAAAAGCCACCTGGCACCTGCATTGCAGCTGAACTCCTAAATACTTTGGGCTGCTGAAGGAAGCAGCATGGCAACACTGGTATTTGCATCCTGCCTCTGTCCCTTTTTTTTTTTAGGATGAGGGAAAATCCCACTGCCTGGGCTTGTCCACTCATAAATGAGCTAATTCTTCCCACTTCCCCTTCCAGGGGTATTTTGAAGGTTTATCACTCACTGATTGGTTCAATGTTTTGGTAATCACTTTTGGTGATTATTTTTTTGGTAACTGATGTTAATGTTTGTGAGTTTCTCTAGGCAAGGACTGTGCATCTGGATATATCTGCCAGGTCTGAAACATGGTGGCTGCTAGCAGAATGAACAAAATACTTTTTGTAGCTATTACTTTAATCTCAGCATGAAAGACACAGCACAGATTTGCTCAGATGTCTTTGTTATCCCAAGAAGCCAAACTGCCTTGACAATGCCCCATCTATCTTTTTCAGTCAGAGCTGGAGCAGCGCTTAGCAAATGCCAAGGAAAAAGCTGCCCAGATGGAGGAGTTTTTCCCCAGACAAATTGCCAGTGAGGATCAGCAAGAGGTTCTAAGGCTCCTCTGCAGAGCCCATGAGCTTGAGCTTGGCAACACAGAGCTGCAGGCAAATACACTGTACAAGGAGAGTCTATTGTGCCAGAAGGATTTTGTGATCCAGCAACTGCAGCAGCACATGCTACTCTGTGAAGAAATTATTCAGCAGCAGCAGATGCTGATAAAAGGTAAAGTAGCAGCTTTGTTCCTGCACTGTCATTATCTCTGAGCTTTGTTTTCTGCCGCCAAAGTGAAGAACAATTCACCCAGAAAACCTTGTCTTGGATGTCATGACTCCACAGTTGTCAACTGTTTATCTAGGAATGATCTTTAACTCTTCCTCCCCATCTCTGCTCCAGCCCAGAACATTCCTGTCCCAGAGACACTGGTGAGGTTACACTGCCTGCACCTCTCTGAGTTGGAGGAGGGGACGCTGAACCGCGTGCTGCTGCTGCATTCAGTGATGTCCAGCATGCTCCGGGTAAGGCAGAGCAGACTTTTGTGCTGGAGGATCCAAGCTGTCCATGACCTTGTGTTATGGCCACAGATTCATACACACCCAAAGCCTGGCTGGGCCCTGGTGCCAGCCAGGAGCTGTACAGAGCTTTGTTTTAGGAACATGTTGTCTCCCTAGAGCTCCGCTCTCCTTCCCTTTGACTCAGAGAATTAATAAGGTTTTTAGAGACAGATGAGGACCCAGGCAGGCTGTGAAGGAGCCAGAGTGTTTATCCTCCTGGTTTCTGTTGCATTAGATTTGAGAGAGATAACTGGCTTGGTGGCAAACAGAAGCAAAGGTTAGATGGCCAAACGTGCAACTGACTGCTGAAGGAGACTGTCCTCTCTGGAGGCCTCTGCTCAAGACACAGTTGTTACTAAGGTCTTTAGGCCTTTCCTGTAAGAAAGGTAAGATGCTGCTGGCCCTTTTGTCTTTGGAAAACTTGTATCTTTTGAGACAGTAAGGTGCTGCCAGGAAATTGCTAGTCTTCAGCAGGGAGTCCAAGCAGCAGTGTCTCTTATTTATTGTAATTGCCTAGATTGAATGGAGCAAGGAGTTGGGTTTCACCTTGAATAATAAACTTAATACTAGTCATGTTGTTCTATGAGAGACTAAACTAGTACAGGTGCCCTTCTGCAGGAGGGGAGCAAATAGTAGGTGGCTGGAAATATGGAAAAGCACATGAGGTATCCAGAGTGTCTATGTGACCAGAGGCTGGGAGTCAAGGCTAGAGGAGGGGCTTTACAGTGAGAAAATCTGCCGAGGATCTCCTTGTCCCCTCTTCCTGCAGCCCCACAACAGCCCATCTCTGGATGTAAGTCAGCATCTGGATCTAAATAAAGATGAGGTCAGAAAGGGCCTACCTGGGAACATGAAGGATCTTCCCTGGGGGGTGAAGTTTGACATTCCCTCCATCACCCTGGAGTCAGACAGGTAATGTGGACCTTTCTCATTAGACTTACTCTCTAGGGCATGGGCACCTGGCAGCCCCCAGCTAAATCCCCAAAGCTGCGTGATACCTGAAGAACACTGCTTTTGTGAAGTAACTCTGTATTTTAGTAGGAGCTTTTGCAGAGAAGACTATGGGAAATGTTTGGATTTGCTTCTGTTGAGTGACAAGGATTTAAACCAAATAAAGTAGCAAAGTCTGTGAGGATCTGGGGACAAAAATCTCTTTCCTTCATGAATCCTGAAGCCCTTTCTTGCTGTGGTGTTTACCACATTTACCAGACTTCTGGCTTTCCCCACAGCATGAGAGCTCTCATCTAGACATGTTTCATCTCTCCCTGTTGATAAAGGGCCCGTGTTTTTCATCTGTTAATCTCCTGGAATATTCTTCTCACAGTGGCAGCTGCAGATCATCTAAAATGTCACCCTGTAGGAAGGAGGGATCTCTGGATAACCACCTCAGCCCAACTTTCTCTGGTTTGCCAAAAACCCCAGGTCAGCAGGTCAGTACGGCAGGAACTGAATTCAAGGCACATTTGTTGTGGATAGCACCTTCCTCCTGCGATGGCAGAACGTGCATGGCAGCTAAATCTATTGCATGTGAGGAAGGCAAACCTTGGCAGGCAATAAAATCACTCCTAGAGCACTGGCCTTGAGTTTAAAGCCTGGGATTTACTTAAGAGGCCAAGGCTTAGCTGCCACCTCCAATCTGGGCTCTCCCTCTGTGTCAGTCACCCAGTCCCCAGTGTGTCCAGGGGAGGGACAGGAGTTGTAAATAGAGATGCACCAGGCAATCTGCTGTGAGGGGACCTGTGGTGTCCAGGATGATCACCTCCTTTTATGCCATTAACTGATCTATCTGCTGGGCCCTGATTTGGTGACTATGTGGTGAAACTAATTTCACTCAGCACCCTGGAACAGAGCTCATCAGTTTCTTGCGTGCTGGCTTGATCCTCTTGTAGCCATGGCTCCACATGGGAGATACAGTCAAAAAGCTTTACCTTTGTTTCTCTATACATAGAAGTTGTTATATTTCAGGTGAAATTTAACGTCTATAAAATGTTTGAAAGTGCTTTGAAGGGGAAAAGTATAAAAACTTTGAATGAAAATCAAATTATGCTGCTATTGCTTTGATTTTTAGCAGAAACCAACAGGTATTACTGCAGGAAAGATGACTCCCAGGCTGCGTTCCCCCACGTCTCTAGACTTGCATGGGAAAAAGTCACCTCCAGACAGTGCTGCTGTTCCACTGAGTCTGGAGACCTTGGAGGAAATTGCTGCCAACACCAAAAGCATCTCCCTCGTTGCAGCCAGTCGCCGTTCCAGAGCCCAACACAGAGATCCTGGAAGCAAAGTCTCTTCAGCCCACTTCCCTGAGGAGGACATGCTTAAGCAGAAGTATCTGGAGGCCAGTTCCACCCCAGACTGTCAGACAAGAGACAGTACACGTACTGGGGGGTTGCTGTTAGAGCCTGCAGCTGGGAGCCAGCTGTGCTCCCCAGCCCAGGTTGTGCTGAAGAACAGGAAAGACCAGGAGATGCCTGCTGAGAGGACAGCCAGAAAGAAAAGATCTCGCTCTCTTGAACCAAACTTCCACAGGGTAGGTCCTTTGTGAGCAGAAGGCATAGGCCCAGCGGAGCTACCCTGGTTTTTAAACACAGTAAGAGAAATATAGTACAAACTGCATGGGCAAATAAGTATCTTTAGTCTGCTATAATGCCCTTAACCTCCTGCCTAGACAGCAAGCTAAGCCAGTCAGGTGGGAAGGGAATCTTTTTGGTACAACATGGCAACAATCAGAGGTGAGAGATATCACTGAGGTTAACTCCACTTGCTGTCTTTCAGACCTCAAAATCTAAGCAATGGACTCCCTCGAGCCCCAGTACAGACAAGGCTTGTGAGAACCACCTGTGCCGAGCTAGACTCTTCCGTCAGACAAAAGCTGTGAGCAGCATATCCATTGCCACGAAGGTCAAGGTTCCTGTTGGCTACTGTTCAGGTAGGGGTCAAAGAGCCGCTGGTGACATCCTGCATCAGCTCTGCTGGAAAAGATGGATTGTCATGTGAGAAATAAGCTAGAGTAAAGGCTAATGATCAGAACTACTAGTAATCTGATTTTTTTTTTTTTATAGCTAAGTAGCTTTTGATGGGTAAGAAAGCATATCCTTTGCAGATCATTGCCCCAACTATGCCTCTGTAATCTAGGGGGAAGAATTAGTGCTCAGCTGGGTTCACATGCAACAAGTTGCTGATCTTGGTCTAGTCATTCAGACAGTTTCACATCCAAACCAAGCCTCAGCAAGGAGACCAAGACATGACAGGCTGCACTGACCATCTGTCAGCTTCAGTTGTTTTGCTTTGTGCAGACACACAAGGCCAGGATGAGCTTAGGGAAACTGGGTACCCAAATCCTATTGAAATGGAGCCAGAATCCTTCCCCATTCTGGCAAGAGGTGCTTATTGATGCTCATTAGTTTTCCTAACTTTTTTTTTTCCCTAAAAAATGGTTAACTTTTGATTTACAATGCTATAATTTGAGCTAGCTATTAGTGATTCATGCATTGCAAAATGGTTTTAAACCATGCTCTGCTCCCACTGTTTATAATGAAGCTTTCCTTGCCTTTGATAGAGGGGACTCCACTAGAGGTGCTGCCGAAAGACAGTGCTCCTGCAAGCACTGTCCAGCAGAGCAACGCCTATCGCATCAAAGGACGGGTCCTACAGAAGCAAGTCAAAGGTGAGTATGTGAAGTATCTGCTTGGCTGGCTCAGGAGGCACTACTATATTCTTCAGCACTTGCTCTGTTGCAATCTGAACCTAAAGAGCTGTAAATGCAATACAAACGGTCCAGTTGGGAAAGCAGCCACATGGGTAGGGGTTTTACAGCCAAATTTTAAGCATGGGGTTTTTTTGCAACAGATGACATGGGCAATGTTCCAGAATGAGTTATACTCCATCTCACTCTAGCCAAAAATAAGCTCTTAAAAGGAGAAAATAACATTTTCAGAGGTGTTCATAATCCTAGTCTAATCCATATGTGAAGTACAAAATTTAAGATGAGTTAGCCATGTGACAACCTACTTCTTCCACTGAAAGTGTCACCTTGGGATTTTCTTGAGGCAACGATGTGCAGATCCTGGTGCCTTTGCCAAACTCTCCCCTCCACAGCCCGTGGCAATCTGTCTCTTCCCCATTTTGACTGGCAATGAGACTAAATTGAAGTGTGAGAAACATGACCGAGTACTTCATCCTCCCTCGCTCACAGGGCCTGCAGATGGTGCCAGCAGTCGGCAAAAGCAGCAGCCAGACGCCCGCTTGGGGAACCAGCTGAAGACTAAATAGAAGTCACCAGGGGAGCAGAACTCTCTGTGGCCCCACAGCATTGTAATTTCAAGACTGCTGGAAGTCGGGGAAGCAGATGCAGGGGGAGAGTAACTTAAAATGTATTTTAGTTTCTGTGTTGTGATGCTGAAAAGCCAAGGGCAGGCTAGCAGGGGGGAGAGAGACCTCATACGCTGTAGATTACTTTTTCCATATCCCTACTTCAAGTCTTTCCTCTGTACTGTGCGGTCTAGCTGTTAGCTTCATTTTAAGACAAGTAGGTTGTTAACAGAGTCCAAGAGAAGAGGAAAACCTCATTTTCCCAGCAGTGTTCACCTCCCAGAAGATGTCAGCATGGAGCCCAAGCTGCCTTTTTTCCCTGGGGCAAAAGTGTGGATGCCACCCATGCATCCAAGAGGCTCCCTGACTATTAAAACCAAGTGTAAATGCCTGAGAAATAGTTTCCCCGTTCTTCCCTGCTGTCCCTGTGTGTTGCTGTGAAGCTGGGAGGTGTAATGAACGCCTGGAATGCTGTTTGGGTGAGCAGATGTTTGGCTCCGAGAGCAGCCAGAGATTGCTAAACTCTTTTCCATCTACAGAGCATTTCAGATCTGACTGCAGCCCAGAGAAGAGGCATGCTGATAGGTGAAGACCCTGATAGGAGCTAGCCTAGAAGTAAACTGCGGGAATGTGATTTTTTTTTTTTTTTTTTGAACATATGTCTCCAGCCAACATCTTTCTCCATATGGGGCTTTTAAAAAGTATTTTCCCTGCATTTTAAATATGCTGCAAATAAAGTGATTCTGGTCATTGCACTCAATAAATAGTGACTCCATGCCCCAAAGAGGAGTGGCTTCCCTCCTAGGTCTGCTGAAGTATCTAAGATGAGAAACTCAGGTAGGTTTGTGCATTTTTTCAGATGGATGAAGAACCATTGAGCTGTAGCACTTGCAAAGTGTTCTCCTACGTGCTCTTTCTGACTTGCTGTGTGACACTGCACACACTCCCTATTCCTCTGTGCCTCTTGCTTTGCTGTCAGGAAGATGAGGGATAGCTCACTATAGGGATGAGGAAGCTTAGATTACTTGTATTTTCAAAATGCCTTAAACCCCCACAGTGGGGATGCAATGCAAGTGCATAAGCTGGTATAGCAAGTAACAGATTTTTCTTATGAACCATAAAGAAGCAAGAGTGAGGTGTGATGGCAAGTAGGAGGTCAGGAACACTTGTTCCCTGGGGCTGCCTTTTTCAGATAAACAAAGATGTAAAAAAAGGAGACAGATAAAATAAGCACAGACTGTGTAAAACAAACCTGTGCCAGCAGGTCTTGAGCCAAGCCTGTATTTACAAGACCGCACGTGATCTGCTAACACCGAAGGACCAAAAGTGAGGGAAAATGGAATTTTTCAAGCATATACATCTCCACTAAATGCCTCTGGGCTGAATCACCATGAAAAGTTGCAGTGTTTCAAAGCCTGGGACATCTAAACTCAATGCATCGCTTTGAGGCTGTATCTCTGAAGGGAAATTGTGCAACAAAGAGTTTGATAATTTGCCATGACAGTTGTGGAGAGTGCGGAGCCATGTGATGTGCTACTTTCCCTGTCTGTAAAACCCACGTTTTAAGTCTGTTAATGAAAAGTTGGGGATTGAGACCTCAGAGGTGGTATCTGTGAATTCTCGTTTGTAGCTTTGATCGTTGCTGCAGCCCATCTCCTGTGCAAAGTGGGACCATGGTTGTTTTCAGTGCTGGGCTTTTTCACTTGATTCTTCTTGATGACAAAGGGTAAAAGTAGCAAAGGGCGCTTGAACTGTTACGGGCTTTTCAAACAGCATTTTCTAGCCTTGCTGTATCCAGTTATCTAGAATTTGCTGGTAATAAAGACTGCTGGGCTGGAATCCTCAAGGCTGGGGTTTCTTCCACAAAACATCTTGAAACGGTCTACATCTAACCGTGAGCTCTAGCGAGGCGCGATGTCGGGTCTCGGGCTGCTGTGTCCACCTCGGGACGAGCACTGCCACCACCGCATCCACGGCGGGCCCTTCCTCCCCCTGGCACAGGGCAGGGGCGGGGGGTTTATCTCTGCAGCCCCTCAGCCCCCACCTGCAGGGCCATCAAACACCCCCTCGGGGTTACGGTGTGGCGGGCGTCCTCCACGCAACCTCTAACGAATTTAAACGCGCGGTTTTACTTAAAACTTTCCTTGCGTAATGGCTCGAAGGGTGGTTTGGCAACGCCGCCCCGCCTCGGAGCGCTGTGAGGGGAGTCACCGCCTCAGCTGCGCCGGCCTCGCTCCTCAGCAGCCCCCTTTCTTGGCTCCTCCTG